TATTATTTTATTACTTTTTCAGATTTAATTTTTTCATCAGGTCAATTTGGTCACTTAACTTTCATACTTCAATTTTGTTAATTCTTAAAATTCAAACTATTTCAATTAAATTCTACTTGATTTTATAAATCCTTTAAACTCAAGCTATATCAATTAAACTCTTCAACTTTTGATTCTTATTTTAAGAATAAATTTGAATATATAATGAATGAATAATTAATTTTACTTTTGGATAGACATTTAATTTATTTTATACTTTAGCATCTTAGATCATTTGACTTCAAACCATATCATTTAAGTTCTTCAAGTTATAAATTCATATTTTCTAAGATAATTTTGGATATAGAATGAACAGATCAATTTTTTCTGAATACTAATATTGAAAAATATATACTTTTCACTTATGAAAATAATGAGTAATACGATATTTTACGCAATTTATATCGAATACATCATGATAGCACTTTTTAGTTAATATTGTATATGTCAAAATTTTAATTATCTCAAAACAACGTCTTGTACCGTTGTGAAATTTGAAAAAATCATTTAAACTATGTTTTTTTTCTCCTTTTTACTATCATATGTTAAAAAATGACGGCCTCCCGATTCCCAAATCCCGACTCTTTTTTTTTTTACAAGAAGCAGCGTATATTGCACTTCAAAAGTGAGTACAAAGTTTAGGGTAAAACCCATGGAAAGATACAGCAGAAATCAAAAGGATAAAAAAAGCCAACAAACAAAGCCCTTACAAATGTTTCAAAAAGAAACCGAGAATGAAGCCCAAAACCCAGAGCCCGCAAAGTGAGCCCAAATTAACCCTAAAGACAACTACCAACACAAACCCTAGCTATCATCTCTTCTCCAACCTGCCGCCGCCAACTATCTGAACAAAGTCGCCGAAAAACCAACTGCCGACCACCAGCTCACTATGCAATGACCGGACCAACGCCACAACGGGAGAACTGCAGTCCGCGAGGAGCCCGGAGACCACAAAAACGACAACGAACAGGCTTGGAGAAAAGAGACGAGCTTCAGAATGATGCATCCCTGCCTTCAACATCTAAGAACCGCATCCTGGCCGCTGCATATGAGAAGGCCTTTGCATCTCCGAAACACCGACGCAATGTGTGAAGCAAGGAGGTAGATGAAAGTTAAGAATATGAGAAGCGTTGAGATAGCGTAACAACCCCCTTAGGGGTTGTGAGTTTCGCTTCCCTCTTCCAAGCCGTCCAATTCCCTTTCTTATGATCTGGCGGTCTATAATTATCAGGGGCAAAAAGAAGAGTGTCGCACTGGATCCGCGCGTTCATCTCTCCTATAATGTCATGCGGGTTTTGAAGGGGGAAAGGATTTGTTGGGGAGAGAAATCAGCCACCTTCCCCGCAATAAATTGTTCGTCTGCCCAAAAACCCTTTCCCCTCCATCATATCCCAAAAAACCCAGCAATCGTCGCCGATCAACTTTCTCGACGCTTTTTTTCCTCCATCATATCCCCCGTTTGGTTGAGGTCGAAGACTTGGTTGTCCGGTTAGAAGGTAATTCCGGTCGATTTCACCATTTACTTCTTTTTTGTCGACCCGCGTCATGGCGATTGTAATCTCTTTGACAACCATTCTTCTCCCCTAACTGCCCTGACTCCTTGCTTTTGTCTTTTCTCCGGCATCTTCCCCCTTCTTTGTTGATCATGTTTCTAGATCTAGGTGTGTCCTGCTTTAATCTTAGTCATAAGACTCATAACTAGTAAAAAAAAACGTGTTCTTTCATTGCATTGTCGGACATCCTTCCGCCGTCGTCCCTTCTTGCTGCCATGCAAACCATCGTAGGAGAGGTATCTTTAATTGTAGCCTAATAGTGGTAGTTTAATTCAATGGTACAACTGGTACATACAAGATGTAGTGGTACTTTACTAGGATGGTACCACTTGTACCAGTTCCAGTGGTAGTTTATTAGTCGTAGCATTAATATATGTGTACCGGTGAATTTTGGTCCGACAGTAGTGGGCTTAAAATGATTCATTGTTACTGGGAGTGGTAGTCGAAGTTACTTTAGATGACCAGCTTTTGTTTTCAATTGGTACCGGTTCTAGTGGTAGTTGTGTTACTGGTACCAACTACCAATTACATTGGTATACTAATAGTGGTAGTTTAATGGAATGGTATCCCTGATTTTAGTTGTAGTGGTACTAGTACCAATTGATTTTTACCAGTACCACTGAAGCAATACTAATACATACTGATTGGTACCAATACTCCTAAATGTTTTAGTGTTCCTACTGGTATTCTTCTAATGGTTTTTCTATTGGAAGCAGTTTAATTAAGTCTTTGTACCAATGTAATTTTTTTATGATAGCCGGAATGGTGAGAACAAAGACTACACATTATACATCAACGACAACAAATCAACCTGTTGGGTATGCTTCTAGGCAGGTTGTCATCGTGGAGGGGAGTTATCTGATTCTCGTTCTGGCCTTATTAAGAAGCGACCACGTGACGAGTTAAGCAAGAGTCCCTGCATTTACTGACCCATCAATAGTTCTTTTCCAGATGTTGAGGAGTATGATGATTGTTTCTGTATGTTTAGAAGTATGAACAATGTTAACCAATGATATTGGACAAAGCAGTGGCTCGGACAAAGTTAGTGGCAATGATATTTCCAAGACGTTGAGGGCATTTGTTGACCTTTAGTTATGTTGCTATCTTTAATGTGAATAAATGATATTGGACAAAGTGGTGGCAACTTACAGTAGTACAATTGGTTTTGTGTTCCATTGTCAATTTTCAATACAACTCGCACTAGTACATTTACTAAGTACAAGTAGACTTGGTCTCCAGTGGTATAAAAAACACTTCAGTGATACAATGGACTCGTACAACTAGCTATCGAGTGGTAGAGAGTTACATGAACCACTTCACTTGTACAAGTGTAAATATAGTGGTACATGTACCAGTTCAATGATGTAAGTACCAGTAACAATATTTTTTACCAAAATTGAAATGAAACATCTAACTAGTACTTGTGAATTCATGATTTTTTACAGCACTTTAAATGGTCGTCCACTGGTAGACAACAAATGATCAAAGATAACAAAACCTCATCAGTATAACGAAACATCTTTCACACGAAACAAAATTAACTGTATCTTCTGACAGGTTGCCACATTTCTACCAAAATTGAAATGAAACATCTAACAAAACAAACGACCAACAAGATTTTGCCAATGCTTTTTTTCCTCTTGATGTGAGCTTGTTATTCAGTAGTATTCTTGCTTGCTCGCTTTCTATTTCCCGAATCGACATTAGCCTCTTCCTATATATTCTCTTGTCATGCCACTGCTTCATTTTGATCCAATAGGAGCTGGAACGATAGTTGATACACCACCTGTATTTAAAAAGAAGATGCATTAGAGGTCATACTATTTAACTTTTACAAGTAGGCTACAACCACGACGTACCTGGTACCAGTAGCTACTACCACTAGGCAACAAATATCACCAAAACTAGTCAACAAATATCGTCAATTGTACCACAAAGTGTCTACCACTAGATGACTACCACTAGGTGTCTACTACTAGTAATTTACTACCACTAGGCGACTACCGCTAGATGACTACCACTAGCAATGTACGACCACTAGATGTCAAACGTTTGACCCTGCCACATGGATATATAATTCTTTTTACAAATTTTTTAAATTTTTAGAAAATTAAAATCATAAAAAGATAGTTTTATCCGTTTGAATCCCTCTCTCTAGCCTATCCATTCCATACCCTATCATCCATCAAAGACCATACAAATCTGAATTCCCTTTTTTCCCCCCTGTTGCAGAAAACCCATGCTCGAATAAGACCCAGATCTCATGTATGCGGTATGCCATCTTGCCAATCGCCCCGGGTCAAATGCTCAATCTAACCAAGTACTCTAAAGCCCTGACTCCTCCAAACCAGCTCTAGCTGCTAAAGATATCGCTGGCCACCATTACCTGCAGTGAGCAAAGTACAAAAAGACTCCAAAGGAGTTCCTCCCCCACATCCATCTGTTTGTGCCCATTCTGATCTTCCTCCCCCGACAAACAATTCACGTCGATCCGCCTCCCTTGTACCGACCCATCCAGCGCCCCGTGCGTAGACGATCTCAATTCAACATTTCGGACCGCCGTCGAGTCTGACCATGTACCCATTGTCAGATTTGATGAAACGGCGTATGATTAAGCGATGAGGACGACTCATGATTGGCGAAATATGGGTGGGATAGATTCGATTGAGAGTGGGTGATGTCCCTCTCGCAGCCAATCTCCTCCCGCCGCGGCAATCGACAGCGGAGCCGCCATTTCCATGATGAGAAGAAGCTCTTGTTGTTGCTGCCGCTTCTATTTTTCCTTCTTCTTCTCCCTCTGCCTTTGAATCTGAAGCATAACAAAAATTGGTTATGGGATCTGGCACCTCCAACGAAACCAGACTAGGATCAGAGCCCCTGCAACCGTCCCTTCCTCTCCCGGCGTTGCAACTACTTCCCGTCATCTACTTCGGCCTGGTCGGAATCTCGAGTCGTCGTCGGATGCTTCTCCGCAACTGTCACCCTAGTCCTGGACGATTTGAGGTGAAGACCAAGGTGTTCGAACGGAAGCATTAGGATTTGGGGATTTTAGCGCTCGCGCTGCGTTGGAGAACACCAAGGCGGCGAACTGAATCATTGCAATTTATGTTTTTCTTTTCCATTTTTATAATTATAATTTAATTATTTGTACCATTATTATTTGATAATAACTCCATAAAATAAAGAAAAAATATTTAAGCTGATGAGTACACATATTTACCACGTCAGAGTCAACTAACGGTTGACCAGATGGAAAGTTAACGGTTTTGTTATTAAATTGTTTTCGAAAAGGTTTGGGTATTATTTTATTTAAAATGAAAAGGTTTCGCTATTAAATTGTATTTACCCTTTTCATTATTAATCGGTGGATCCTACATTCCTACTCCTACCCGTCCCGGAAGCGATTTCCTATATATACGCGATTCATAACTAGAAGTCTTGAACTAGAATTCGGCGATTGAGCAAAATCGGAGGGAGCCAAAGAAAGGCGCGCGGAGGACAGCGAGCCCGTGAGAATGGTAGAAGGCGATGTGGATATGACTGGAGCCGACGCTAACGAAGCTGTAATGTCCCTCATCTGGCCTGCTTTTCCCTATATCAGACTCTCCTCTCTTGTCGCCTTTTGGCGCTCTTATGGATCAGGGAGGAAACCCTAATTGCGGTTCTGGTTTTCTTTTTCTGCTGGTCGCGATTTCAGGAATTGGACGACATGAAGAAACGGTTGAAGGAAATTGAGGACGAAGCGGCTGCTCTGCGCGATATGCAGGCCAAGGTCGAGAAGGAGATGGGTTCTGCTCAAGGTGGCTAATTCTCTCTTCCCTTATTCTACTATGGAGTATAACGATGGATTAGTGGAATTTGATAGATGGTACGGTGTGCGATGAATTGGAGGTTTATGTAGTTCTTAGACGGGAAAGTGGCTATTTAATTGATTTCTTTTTTGAAGTTTTGTTGATTTCGTATGTTAGCGATTGTGTTCGGCTTGTATGATTTCAATTCGTGCTAGTTCATATTCTCTTCATGAGAACTGGAGGGATCCTCTCATTCCTTGTGGAGCCATGGCTATGACTCAATAATAGTCTTTTGCATATGGTACACTTTGTTGTATTTGGCTTTGCATACCTTTCGTTGCCCCATATGATATCGTGACGAGCTTTTGGTGCTCTGATCTGAGGTATGCTGTTATTTCTTTTTGGTTCCTGCTGTACCACATTATGAGTTAAAGCAAGGTATGATCACATTTGATTAGCAAACCAAGACGATGGTTTAACTGAATCATGATATGACATGATAAAACATGGACACTTCTGGAACTTCAGGAGGCTTTCATGATTTTATAACCTTCCTAGGTCCTACTTTTGTGTACCAGGGAGTTCTTTTATTAATATTTTTATGGAGAACCTGTAGTAGAAAGGAAGAGATGATGATGAGAGTGAGGATTCGTACTTGTATCATTATTTATTCTCCTGTCTGATATTTCTTGCTGAATCATGTGGTGATTACTCTGCAACTTCTTCATTGTTTGGTAAACAAAGAGTTACTTTTAAGATAGCTATTGCCTATTAACATACTTTTCTTCACAATTTGACCATAATTATTGCTCTTATGCCAAACTAGATCCTGGTGGTTCTGGAGCATCTCAAGCAAGCAGAGAGGAAGTAGATTCTCGATCAGTTTTTGTTGGCAATGTGAGGCTTCTATTTACAGCTCGTTTCAGTTATTTATTGGATGAAATGTTTGATTCATGCACTGGGCTGAGCATTAAAGCCACTTGAATATGGCCTTGCTTTTCTTCCTTCCTCTATTCATTGGAAAAAATTCTTCCTTCCCCTGCATGTTCTTTTCTTGATAAATTATCTTTTTGTCTTTTCTCCATGCATTGCTTATTGCTAGTGTGTCTCTAGGAGCCTCCGTAAATGAGATTGCTACAATCCTTTCATATTTACATTACTAAATTGATGTGGTCTGTCATTGAATTGGAAGTTTGTTGGAGTTGTGTTACCTGTGCCTAGTTTCCCCCCTGCTTCCCCCTTGGGAGATGTGGAGAAGGGAAGAGTGGGATGGATGGGTTGGAATGCATGAGTCTCCTTCCCTGTACCAGTTTAGTAGCATGTTGATTGGAGTTAGTTTCATTCGCTGGCTCTGGTCTGCTATGGACTAGCATGTGAAATGGATTGGCTTAGAAGATTGTTCTGTTGTGAGTATCCGATTATATCCAGGACGGAACAAGACAAATGCTTTAGAAGTGAGAGTGACTGGAAAGTACTGTAGAATATGCAGCTTCAATTTTTCTCAGCTTGCCATGTTCCTCTTTAGCTTTAATTGCGGATGAATTCGCGAATTGTCTAGCGTTTCCTTTTCCAAACTGCCTAAGTTGAGTGTATAACATTAGTTGAGAGTTCTGCGGAGCAAATATGTGGTGGAGTTGTGCTTTGAGTACTCATTATCCTTGCCCAATTGATATCGATTTGGTAGGAACTGTACTTCCATTATTGATAATCTGAGCCAAGTGATATCGAGGTAGCTAGGTTGGAAGTAATATGTTTAATTCGTTAGGCTCCAGGGCATTATTGAATAGTGGGGAACAATAAGTTATTCATGAAAAGAAGAAGAGAAGGTGATAAAAGTTATCAAGGAATCAAGGGAGTGCCAGGCATTGCATATTCTGTCATGGCTTTGTTCCCTCTTCAGCTCTGATAAAACTTATATCCAAATTGTCCTACCTTATTTTCAGTATAAACCTCTTGCTTTGCTCTCTCCATCCTGTACTAGGTTTAGTTTTCTGCTTGATCCAATGGGTCAGGAAATTGATTTGCCAGCCATATATATCTCTAAGGTCTTATTCTACAGGAAAATAAGTTGAACTGAGGCCTTTGAGAATCTTCACTAGTTGTATTGCTAAAGCAAAGTTTGAGCAACTTATGCTTCCAGTTCTCAATCATTCCGTTGCTGCTTTTGATTAATTTTCCTAGATGAGATGCCTACTCTGTGTTGAGTGGTGAAAGTTTAGATGGTGAGTTATTTGTTTTTCTTTTGGCCTGCGTTTGAGCTTCTCTGGGTCTTGGTAATACTATTCTTCTCTGACCTTCTTTCACTAAGTTCAGCTATTTGCATTCCCTTTTTTTTTTTTTTTTGCTTGAGTTTGAGCTTCACTGGGTCTTAGTCTTACAATTATACTTTGACCTTCTTCTTTGACTAAACTCGCAGGTCAGGCTTCGTTCTTCAGGCGTCTGTTGTTGTTGTTAGTGGTGTCAGTAGTGGTTAGCTTGATAAAAACCGAGTGGGAAAATATAGGGACGAAAACAAAGAGTGTTGAAAAAAAGTTTTATTTGAGTTGAAAATAAAATAGAAAAAAAAGGAAAAGACGAAAAAGGTTAATCAGGAACCTCAAAAGAAAGAAAAGAATGAAAGAAAAAGAAATGAGATGTGGTATTGAAATGGACGAGGGAGAAGGTGTTTCCGAAACATGATTCACTCAGATTAAATCTGAGGCGTAATCCGTGGAGAATGGAGACTGGTGATGTGCAGGCCAGACTGGTGGCTTTCCTGATGGTTATTGCTGGAGGAATAGGTAGATGTTTGCTGCTTATGGTGAGAGGTCTTTGATCTCTATATTTTCACCTCGATTGGGATTGATAGGGGGTTCTGATTTCTTTCTGCTTGTTTATATGCTTTCATAGTAATAAACTAATACTAGTTATTCATGTACTCATGAATGCTGGATGATTGCTTGGTGAATGATTTTAAGAAATTAAATATGGATGGCTTAGAAAAAGAAAAAAAAGAAATGATGTGGTAAGGCTGATAATAATTCATCGTTATGTGATCATTCTGCTGGCATGTAATTCCATGCAACCAGTTTTTGCATTGTTTTCGGATGCGCTTGGCTGTAGTTGTATTCAGTGCCCTCATCTGCATGGTACAACCACCTCCTGTGTTTAAAGATACATTTTTATTGGGTGTGGTTGTTGACTGGAATTACGAGCTTTCAATGGTCTCTAGTCCTTTGTTTGTGTCTTATAAGAACAACACCTTTGAAATGCAGCAAAGGAAAATTGATCTTTTGTATTGCAAGGCTTATAACTGTGTTTCAGACACAGCTGTTTTGCTCTATAGCTCATTTTCGATTTCTTCCTTTTGTTTTCCCTGTGCAACATAATGTTCATAGCATGATGTTGCTTGTCCAGTAATAGTGTTGGTTTGTAGTTGGCTTTGATAGACTTTGATGGCTTGTAGTTGGTGTTGAGTGGTGAATTTTGGAGCTTGTTTGACAACACCATTGTAAAACTACAATAATCTCAGTAATATCTTAGACCTATGTATGCTTTGTTTTCTAGAATCTTGTTACACTTTTACCACTTTTAGCTGTTAGCTGTTTATCTTGTAATAGATTCTATTTCATTCACCAATTGTCAACCTAAACCCTCCTGAAGTGATGGTTTTGTTCGAGATTTAAGAGAATGAGTTAAGACAGGTTGGAGTGGGACTTTTTGATGCAGTCTAGGAACTGGTAACTATAGGACTGTTTAAAGCTAGAATATCACATGCCGTTTCTGTGTTAGCTATTGAATGCTGATAGATTGTGTCAATATTTGTCTTCTCTGTTCCTGGCTATTACTAAGCAGGGGTGTTTGTGTTATATCCATTGCAGGTTGACTACTCGTGCACACCTGAGGAAGTACAGCAGCATTTCCAGACGTGTGGAACAGTAAATCGAGTCACTATTCGCACTGATAAATATGGTCAACCAAAGGGTTACGCTTATGTGGAATTCCTGGAGACCGAAGCTGTTCAAGAGGCGCTTCTATTAAATGAAACTGAGCTACATGGCCGACAATTGAAGGTAAAACCTTTGACGTGAAATCTTCATGTTCTCTTAGATGTCCAATGATCTTCTTTTTCCGCTTCAGATATGTAGATCTCTGAACCTTGAATCCCTCCTCTTTTCTAACTGGAGATTTCCTTTTTCATATTTCTCCTTGTCTACCTGTAATGACTTGCAGGTGACTGCAAAGCGGACTAATAAACCTGGGATGAAACAGTTCCGTCCTCGTCGATCCAATCCATATGCTGGATTTCCACCGAGGGGTGCATTTGCAGCTCCCTATTTCTACCCTGCTTATGGCTATGGGTACACACTACTACCTTTTAGCTATCTGCCTTAGCTTCTTTTATTGTGAACAGCGGATGTTTTTTGTGCTTATTTGTCTCTCTTCCTGTATAGCTTGTTTAGGTTCTCACATTCTTGTTCTATATTCGGGATGTTGGTTGCAGGAAGATTCCAAGGTTCAGAATGCCAGCACGTTACAGCCCTTACAACTGAGAATGGTGTGACGGTTGAGGCAGCAAATTGCTAGCAGTTAGTTGCTTCTGGAGCGAATGTTTTTATGATTGTTTCCTTGAGCTTTTCATTGAGATGGACGGTGATGATTTAGAATGTTGAGTGGAAGACCGTGAACCCCTATAAGATGCATTTGTGATGGATGTTTTTGCGGTTTGATAAGAGTTCTATTTTGGGCTGGCCTTGGCGAGCCCTATTATCTGGTATATTATTATTATTTTTTGTTTTAAAAGGGAAAAACAGCCCTAGCTAGTATTTTGTCTGCAAGCTTTCTTCTCTGATTTAAGGGCGAGGAGAAATTTTATATAGCCAATGATATAAGTATTGTATTAGGGGTGGTTTGCTTCGTGGATAAAAATAGGGTTTTGTAATTTAAAAATCTAAGGATTTATCAAGGATTTGAGGCATCATGGATTTGTAACAATCCTTTGTTTGTTGGGATGTTTTTATCATGGATTTTGTTTGTTGGGATGTTTTTATCATGGATTTAAAGGTGTGGGATTTACTACTTGAAGTCAAAAATTACATTACTGCCCTTTTCTATATGTTTGACATGTTTATAATATGTACACAAAACAAGGACCAAACTTCAAAATTACATGACTATAATTTTCTATATGTTTGACATGTTTATGATATGTATACAAAACAAGGACAATATATACTAATAAGCATAATGTTGCCACATGGACAATAATAATAAACGAGAAAATTCCGTTTTAACTTTTAACGTAACATAATCAATTACCAATCTTTTGTCCTCCTTTTCAAAAGTGACATATAACAACATATATTATAATCGGGAGAACAAAGAATTAAACGTTCCATGAAAAGTTCAAAGAAAACTAGAACACAAGAAATGATATAAAAAATCTAACTCATGTTTGCACATTAATTGAACGTTTATATTATTCATTTATTGTTAATTATAATGTATAATAGTTAAATTTGAGGGCAACCTTGGAATATTAAAAGTGCATGAAGGTATATGGGTAAAATCTCATCAAGGATTTATGCCATATTCCAAATCCCACATCAACATGTGGGATTTATAAGTCCGTGGGGTCCACGGATTTGGACCCTTAAAATCTGTGGGCCCCACGGATTTGGTCTCCAAAAAATGTGCAAGCAAACAACGGATTGTACCTAAATCCTTGATAGGTACCAAATCCATGTACCAAATCCTTGAAGCAAACGACCCCTTAGTGCTATAGGGTTTTGCATTTATGGTACAACTTGAACTTGTACCTTTATGTGATGGTACAACTTCAAGTTGTAAAATTGTACCATAACATAATGGTACAAATTGCTTTATGGTACAACCTAAACTTATACATTTAATGTTATGATACAAATTAAAGCACCAATACTATATAGCATAGTAGAAGTGCTCTAAGGGCGAGGGTTCAGAAGAATATGATACGAACATTTTGGAGGGTGTTAGTTTCTCGTTGCACTGCCTGGTATTGAATCACCTATAGCCTAAAAGCTATTCAAAACCAAGTTATCATATGCATTAGCTAGCTAGACCAAATGACCTATTGTTTCCAAAACCCGGATTCTATGCAAATTGTAAACCCAGTGATTATTGTGATTTATAGTAATAAAAATAATAGTAATAATAATTACGCCTGGTGCATATAGATTGGATTCACGGACTGGTGGATTCATGAGTTAGATCAAATGGACTGGTTGATTAATCCATGAATCCAGATGACATACAAGCATGAGATTAATTTGTAAATTTTAAAAAGGTTGGGTACTAAAATGTCATAGTGAAAAATTTTAGGTACCAAAATGGAAATTTTCAATGACATTTTTCATATAAAAATAAATTTTAGGTATCAAAATATAAAATATAAAAGGAATAGGTACTCACCGTAATTTACCATTTGGATCCATTGATCAATCCATGAATCCACCATTCTAATTGGATTTGGATCAAATATATTGGATTTAGATGGATTGGATTAGGTGGATAGTTTGATGAATGAATAGGATTGAATTCATGGATATGAATCCTAATTGCCACCTCTATTTGCTTCTTTCAATTCAATTGCTCAAATTGAGATAGGTCATTCAGTTGTGAAATCAGAATAACATGTGTCTATTTGATCAAATCCACCTATATCATTACTCATTAGGGATGGCATTGGGTGGGTCGGTTTTCATATATATCATTTTCGAATTACGGTTTTAAAATGTAACCATTCCTGTAACTAGATTGTGGTTAGATGTAATATGTAATACCAAAATCAACGAGTATATGGTTGAGGTAAAACCAACATGCACTATTCCTGTACAATCATGTGCAAAGTTTTTTTATATAATCTAATTTTTTTCTTTGAATGTCAATGTAAAATGAAATTTCTTTATCACATTGTTTGTAAAATGGAGAGAAAATGAATAAGATTTGAGGCCTAAGAAATAATTATAATATTTTACTGATATAGTTGAACAAAGTGTTAAAATGAATAAATCTAGAATATAGTTATAACTTATAACACATATTCATGTGAATTTGGTACGCAGATAAAATATCAAAATCATGCCAAACTCATTATCCTCTTTGTCGAATTCGGAGGAAACCCATCCAAAGATTTTCTGTGTCATCGAGTTTCAGGGATCTGACAACGGGGGCGGTCTATGGCTGGGTTCCTCACAACTCATTATCTTGCTATTTCCATATGAACTAGAGCACAACTCTACGTGTTCTGCAAGTTGCTCAACATTAACCTTCATTCCCGCAATCCTTGTCCAATTTATATTATCTTCTCCTAGCATAAACTGAAAATAGAAAAGAACAAGTACATACATGGTTTTACGTGACATCAAAGAAGGAGTCGGGGAAAAAAGTGGCACGGTTTGGAGAGTTCACACCCTCTCTCTAACTTTTCTTTTCTCTGCCTTATCTCTAAGTTAGAGTTCATTTTCAAGTCTCCATATGGTTGCCGTCAGCTTCCCTTTGGGACCGATGGTGGCCCTCCAACTCTTTTACCTTTCCTGCTTTTTATTTTGCTTGGTTCCATTTTCATTTTCATTGCATGTTTCGATTTTCCTTGTCCCGATCTCCGTTTCACCTTCATGCTCATCTTTGGGGTTTTCACTATGCCACTTCTTGTGAGATGGATGTCTCCTGTTCCAGCCTCTACTTTTGATCCTCAAATTTAGATATGCTTGGTTCTTTTGCTCGGTGGTCAAAGGGGGCTATAGATCTTTGATCGGTAGCTTGTCTTCTCATATGGGGTGGGATAGCGTCACTACCCCTATAGGGGTTGTGATTTTCGCTTCCCACTTCCCAGCCACTAATCTTCCTTTTCCATCCCACGGTTATTATTAAGCAAAGGGTGTTTTGGGAATGCTTTATATAATAAATAAAAGGAAAGAAAATGAAATATTAAATGTAATTGTATTGGAAACGGTTATTGGGCGTGATTGGTGGGATGGATCTCTCCCAACACTTGGTCTTCCCATCTCTGCAACTTCATTAAAAAAATCCCTCCCTCCCCATCTCTTGGCTTGTTCATTGCTTCTGCTTCATTGAAAAAAAACTACCATTCAAATGTAGTTATAGAACGCCGGAAACACCTTTCCACGATGGCCGCGGAGCGATCCCTAAAATAAGAAAGATTTGAGTGTTTTGCTGAGGACGACGTTGTTGTCGACGCGGAGTAGCTGGACAACGACGAAGGATTCAACAACGTGAGAAAGGCGGACAACGACGACGATCACTTAAACTTTATACATATCGACAACGATGATGATTCAGTGCTCGTGAATTTCTTGGCCTAAACGTGGAGAACAACAAAGATTTCGTGCCGCAACCAGACGAATACGTTAAAGATGATGATGACGGCACAGAGAATATCGTCGACGCCAACAATCTCGCTAGGGTTAACTAGTGCCGTTACGACTTCCGTTGAATGGGTAGTGTTTTTTTAGTGGTACACCTTATGCGACGACCAAAATGTACTAGTATTTCTGGTTCAAGTTAGCTAGTGGTAGTACATTGCTAGTGGTAGTCATCTAGCGGTAGTCGCCTAGTGGTAGTAAATTACTAGTAGTAGACACCTAGTGGTAGTCATCTAGTGGTAGACACTTTGTGGTACAATTGACGATATTTGTTGACTAGTTTTGGTGATATTTGTTGCCTAGTGGTAGTAGCTACTGGTACCAGGTACGTCGTGGTTGTAGCCTACTTGTAAAAGTTAAATAGTATGACCTCTAATGCATCTTCTTTTTAAATACAGGTGGTGTATCAACTATCGTTCCAGCTCCTATTGGATCAAAATGAAGCAGTGGCATGACAAGAGAATATATAAGAAGAGGCTAATGTCGATTCGGGAAATAGAAAGCGAGCAAGCAAGAATACTACTGAATAAGAAGCTCACATCAAGAGGAAAAAAAGCATTGGCAAAATCTTGTTGGTCGTTTGTTTTGTTAGATGTTTCATTTCAATTTTGGTAGAAATGTGGCAACCTGTCAGAAGATACAGTTAATTTTGTTTCGTGTAAAAGATGTTTCGTTATACTGATGAGGTTTTGTTATCTTTGATCATTTGTTGTCTACCAGTGGACGACCATTTAAAGTGCTGTAAAAAAATCATGAATTCACAAGTACTAGTTAAATGTTTCATTTCAATTTTGGTAAAAAATATAGTTACTGGTACTTACATCATTGAACTGGTACATGTACCACTATATTTACACTTGTACAAGTGAAGTGGTTCATGTAACTCTCTACCACTCGATAGCTAGTTGTACGAGTCCATTGTATCACTGAAGTGTTTTTTATACCACTGGAGACCAAGTCTACTTGTACTTAGTAAATGTACAAGTGCGAGTTGTATTGAAAATTGACAATGGAACACAAATCCAATTGTACTACTGTAAGTTGCCACCACTTTGTCCAATATCATTTATTCACATTAAAGATAGCAACATAACTAAAGGTCAACTAATGCCCTCAACGTCTTGGAAATATCATTGCCACTAACTTTGTCCAAGCCACAGCTTTGTCCAATATCATTGGTTAACATTGTTCATACTTCTAAACATACAGAAACAATCATCATACTCCTCAACATCTGGAAAAGAACTATTGATGGGTCAGTAAATGCAGGGACTCTTGCTTAACTCGTCACGTGGTCGCTTCTTAATAAGGCCAGAACGAGAATCAGATAACTCCCCTCCACGATGACAACCTGCCTAGAAGCATACCCAACAGGTTGATTTGTTGTCGTTGATGTATAATGTGTAGTCTTTGTTCTCACCATTCCTGCTATCATAAAAAAAATTACATTGGTACAAAGACTTAATTAAACTGCTTCCAATAGAAAAACCATTAGAAGAATACCAGTAGGAACA